AATAATCTTATATATATTAAATCATGGGAAAAACATTGAATTATTTATATAGGATGCGATTTGGAAAAATTAGCGTTATTTGTGTCATTCTATCTTCATCATTCATATATGAACCAAAGATAAAATAACACAAATAGTGCTAACATCTCCTTGAACGCAGCCGTAGCTACACAAAAAACTGTAAGAATTTAAACTGAATTATTTGCAACTGATCCTTTCTTTTTATACAAATCATTATCGTAGAAATTATTGACAATATATAGAATACAAAATTATGTACAATAGAGCTTGTAATGATCTCGCAATCGTTCAATATTTATCAAAAGTATAATAAAAATGTCTCACATACATACATACATACATACATACACATACATATATATACATATGCATACATACAGACTGAATTGTAATGTATATCTCAACGTTTTACCATGGGAGATGAATATTTCTCTTTTAGGCGTGGTCTCCTACGCTTTTTCCGATTACAGTCGGTAATTCATCTCCCATGGTAAAATACTGAGACATTCATCATGATTCACTCTATATATATATGTACATATATATATATATATATATATGTATACATATATATTTATATTATTTATAAACATGCATACACGCATATGCATGTATACGCACGCATACACAGTGTATATAAAGTCAAATTTTTTTAAATATATCTTTACATTAGGCAGTTTTTTCTTCTTTACTGTAAATGTATCTATATATGAAGTAAATATTCAAAAGTTGTATAATTCATACATATATATTGTCTTATCAAAATGTGTTTTGACGTAGTGTATATTGCAATATTCTTCAAAAACTACAAATTGGATTAATAATATATTAAGTGTTAATTTCTGATGCATACCTTTGTTTTACTAGCTGTTTTATCTGATTAATTACTCCATTTCTACACTATTGAAGCATAAGGGACTCTAAGTTTCGGTGCAGAATAGTATCCTTCACAGCATTAAAGACGACTTTAATATTTTCTGTGTCTACTGCAGTGGTGAAATGATGAAACAACGGTTTCCTTGGATCCCTTTTAACCGAGACGAACATATCGAGAATAAAATTTTGCACGTCCTTCATGGAATGTGGATCACCCGCAAATTGTGGAAAATAGTAACGGATATTTGTATCCTGTGACCTCACTTTTTTATCGAGCAAATCCGTTTTGTTTAAAAACAAAATTATAGACACACCACAAAATATCATGTTATTCACGATTGTATCAAATATATTTTTAGATTCTTCCAATCTGTTAGTTCTCCTACAAGATTAATTGATAATAAAAACATTATTATCATATTATGTTCATTTTACGATCTTGTAAAATAAACAAAAAAATAACATACCTATCTTCCAACAAGACCTGATCAAATTCCGATGATGATACAAGAAAAAGTATAGACGTCACGCAGTCAAAGCATTGATACCATTTTTGCCTTTGAGATCTTTGACCGCCAACATCAACAAAGAGGAATGGAATATTATTAATCGGTATTACAAATTCGGAAATTCCTTTTGTCGCCTTTCTACAGTGTAGAATATCCTGATGTGTCGGTGTATAATCCTAAAAAATATTTATACACTTTATAGGCAATGAAAATTAAAAATAACATACACACAAACACACTTCTCTTTACACTTTATAGTAAATAAAAATATATATATTAATTATTCTAATTATAAATTGTAAAATGTATTACCACTCTTGCAATCCTATCAAGATTATCTAAGAAGTACTGGACAGAATCACTCTGAAAATATCAAATCACACATATAAATATAACACATAAGTTAAAAAATAATAAAGAAATAATAAACAATTATTACATTTATATCAGTTGCACGAATGCATGCATAAGATTTGTATCTGCACAATTAAAAAAAAAGAGAGAAAAAATCTTACTAATTGGAATTCTCTTCGCCTGTCGAACGCTCTTTTAATCGACGCATCCGTCCATAAACTCTGCAATGCTGGCACATAATGCAGAAATAATCTAGTATCCAACACCATGGTATTCTCAAACTTGAGTAATTGAAAACCGATATCATAATTCTTAGAGTTCTCCCAAGGAATATTTAGTTTATCCCGTGCATCTACTAGAACCTTCATACCCTTTATTATATTCTGATAGATTACATGTTGGTATTCTTTAATTAGTTCAGGCTGAAAAAAATATATAATACACAATATCAATTCTAATTCTCTGAAAAATATTTCTTATAAAAGAAACAATATGATATTCTTTTTATAATATACTTTGAAAATATAATAACATTAAGTATCAAGAAAAATATACTTAATGCTTAAAACAAAATTAATGACAAGTGCATCTTTTATCTATAATTAAATGTTTAATGTGTACCAATTTCAATGAAAAATATTTATTCTGATTAAAATGAGTTTCAGTTTTGAAATTTTTAATCATTTTTAAATGATAAATTATTGTGTAAAGAATTTGAGATATGACAGAAAATGTCGCATGTCAAATCGATATCAATGCTTCTTTTACAACCCATGATTTTATTCCTCATCTTTTTTTATCTTCTATATGTTTCATACATAATTTATTATACGTATACACACATATAAACACACTGTATTATTTATTCACCATACTACTAATATTCGACTTTTTTTTTCTTTTCTAGAATAAGAATTATAATTCTTATAGAGATTCTACAATGAGTCAGTAATCAAAATTCTTAACTACTTACTAGTCTTAATCTTAAGATTTGAGCACAAGAATTGTAGTAATACTTATTAAAGTGTAAGTAACACATGAGCTTTGGAATATGGTATACAACTTATTGCCGTGTCTCCAAGACATAACAATAAGTTACATGTCATATGCCAAAGCATGTACGTTGCTTACGTCTACAATATAAAAGTCTATGCAAGTATTACAACAATTCTTATGCTCAAATCTAGATCTCAATCTTAAGATTTAGAACTACTTGAGATTTCTGACTATCAGCTCATTGTAAAACTCTGGTTAGCAAAACAAACTGACTAATATTTATTTTTACTAACGTAGATTAATTTTAACCTTGATATAACTTATTCTTTAACTACAAAAAAGTAAAAAGTAAGTTAAATTAAGAATTAATTATCAATGGAAATCGAAATATCATTAGTATGAAAGTCAGTAAAATAGTTGAAATTTGAAATCACACAGATATATATTGCATTTTTGAACATTTTATTTTAGGAATACCTTTGTACTCTGCTATAGTATTTTACATATCTTCTCATCAGAAGATTGGCCAATGAGTTACTTCATTCTTTTTGTAAAAAATCCATAATGCAGATTTCAACGAATAAAATACTATGCTCAATTATAATAAAAAAAAATAGGATAAAAAAAAATAGATACATTAATGTGTAAATTATATGAAGGTTAAATATTCCGCTAATTAAATACAAGCCAAATGTCGTACATGAGATGGCATTGATCGTAGGAGAACCGAACCGATATTCGAATATTACAAATATTGCGAGACGGCACCGATTCCATCACGTGGTGCCGCGCGCATGGAACTCCTCGAGTCCTTACCTCGAACTTGATACCGTGAATGATCCGCATCTGTTTGAGGAATGTCGACTTGCCGCTTTCTCCCGCGCCAAGCAGCAGCAGCTTCACCTGTCGGCGAAACGTCTGCCGATCCTTCTCCAGCATCCGGTCGATCTCCTGACTCTTATAACGTTGCTCAATCTCCTCTGGGCTGAATTTAAACCGCAGGCAACACGACCACGTTAAGGAGCTCGCCATCTTGCTACCCTGCCTATCTCTCTCATTCGCTCTCACTCTCTCCACTTCCTTACTTTCCTCGCCTCGCTTGCTTGCTTCTCTTCTGCCGCCGGAGTCCGGCAGCGTCAACTCTCGCTCGCTGCTGTCAGCTGCCGTCTCGGCAACAAACCGACGAAACGTACTTTAGAAACGGGAACGCGCGCGCTGACAATACCAAATACACGACGACTCGCGTCCCTCCTCCACGTCTCGTTCGTCGCCACCCACCCCGCGAAAGCGCAATGAGCGCAATGAGCGCAATGAGCGCAACTCGCAAGCCGCGCCGCGCCGTCCCGCGCCGTCGCCGATTCAGAACCGCATTTCTTGGACAGGCGTAACCGGCCGGAATGCGCAACTACTATCACCGAACCGAGCGGATTACGCTCGCTACGCTTTTTTTTTTTTAATCGACCACAACCCGCATGTATTCGCTTCTACCACGCGTTATAACGTACACCCTGTTACGATACAGGTATATGTATATACATATATATATGAGGAAGAATGTGACAATGAAAGCAAAAGATATTTTCACGCAAACATCACTACCGTTTGTCCGCGATCTTCACAATTGTGTCCAATTGTGTCCCCATATGACAGTAGTGGCACACGACGAGATACTAAAGATAGCCGGCCTTGGGCAAATTTTCGTGACTATCAATGGAGTCCCCCGTCTTGACATTCTTGACTATCAATGGAGATCCGAGGATAATAGAAGAACGGTGACATTATCAATAATCGATATAAATTTGCAATAAATTTTTAACATATAAAATATATTTGGATAATATATAATATTATTAAATTTATGATTTTTTATAATATAGATACTTCGTAAATGAGTACGCATACTTTTAATGCTTTAATATTTTATATGTTGCTGAAAAATTACAATTTTTTCTCCACAGTTATCATCAGCTGGATTGTTAATCAAATTCGGATGATAACATTAAAATCGCAGTTTTAAATAAAAATCGAGTATTATTAAATTTTAAACATATAAACATATATGCGAAACTAATAAATCATGAAATTAATACTACATTATCAGTTTCTTATGCCCACTGCACACTGGAATACTTACCGAGAAAATAAAATACTTTGTTCATAGATCCAATCAATGGTCCGTACTATAGTCTAGTTCACATCGTGCACTTGATATCCACGCGCATACTCGTGTGCCGTTTGTGAACACTAATAAATATTAAATGCAAGTCATGCTGTTTGTTGCGTTATTTTGACAATTATTTGTGCATTTCTAATTGCTTTAAGAATGTCATTTTTCGACTTTTTTCAAAAATTTTTTGGTGTGACACGTCGTAATGAGCCTAGTACAAACAGGTAAAAGATTTGAACTTGTGAACACATGAAAAATATTAATATGTATTTTATATATAAATTATAAAGTCCTTCTCCTTACATTTTGATAAAAATAGACTCTGATTTATTTTTGTGTAAAAACGAAGAGTTGAAAAACAAATATCGCCATTCGATACTCTAAAAACAATTAATTAAATGCTAAAGGTGATATATTGAAAGGTTAGAAAATTCATCATCAACGATTCTCGATTGCCAGATTTTCGGTTTTCGATCGAAGATTACAATTTTTTTAAACGAATCTTCGATTTTCTGGCTGACAGAAAATATTTGGTGATGCATTTTTTACATTTTTTAAAAGAAAATTGCGATGTAATAATCATTTTGAAAGTATCAATTGGTCTTCAGCAAGATAAATGAAATTTTTTTTTATGCCGGAGAAAATTGTTTCAATATTCACTGCCAGCGCTGAGAATCTATAGTATATATTTAAATATTTTCAGTACTAGTGGTTTTTATATATATTTCTACTTGTAAATATTTTCAGCAGGGTGTACTTTAATATGATAGCACAAGTCAACACAAGTGTCGTTGTTGTATCGTTGTGACTCTCTGAATGCTAAGAAAGATAGAATGAGATAGAATGAAAGTTTTCTTTTTCTTCTTAAAAATCTATGTGAATTTCCTAATTGAATATGTATAAGGAGTTACTCTATCATACAACGATATATGTATGAAATAACCCCCAAAATAACCTCCATGGGTACCATAAATCTCACTTATTGTCAATACCAGACCTTAAGCCTTTTTTATATCCCAATAGTTGATAAATAAATATAGTAAATCTAAAAATCTAAAAATAATTAATCGTAAATAGTTATTAAAAAAAAAGTTAAATAAGTTTTTAACTTATTTTTCTATTTGTAGCACTAAGTGAATTGTACCTAATGTAAAATAAAATTCTTTATATAGTTTTATACAGGTTTTAAATTTTCAACAACGCGATTCATGGTCTCTATAGAAAATTTGATTAGAAAAATATGTAGAGAATTCTAATAAAAATATTTAAGGATTGCATCATCAATTTTAGATTATAGTATCAATATACTTTTCAGATTTGGTGATTATGATTCACATCAAGAAAATTTTCGAAATCCAATTTGGCAGAGTGATGAAGATGATGATGACGATGATATAATTAACTTTCAGTAAAAAAAAGAAAACTTGTATATTCTTGTATATCAGAGATATTTCAATAAATTTGGATTTTAATTTTGATATTTTCTAGGCACCCGGAAAACAGTTTGCATTTCAGCATCTCTAGCAATCCACTCGAAATGATGTTTTACTTTGATTCCCAAATAGATAATATGTTGAAAAATTTTTTTAAATTTAACAACACTTTTTTTGGTACGTTTATTCGATAGAAAATTTGTCATTCTGCATGCTTCATTTGCAAATATAGCGTTAAAGAATGTTATTCTGATTATCAAAGATTGTTTCTATTTATAAGGATTTATTAAAATATTTTAAAGTAAAAGAATTCTTATAGATGATAAAGCTATTACATTACCATTTACTGGACCTGAGAAGAATGACAATTTACGGGACAGAATGCTGAAATCCGAGCCTGATACATTTGCCATCGCAGATGTACCAATAGAAAACAAAGTAGACACAGATTTAGATGGAAGGTAGTAATGATTTTATCCTTTTTTCAATTGTTTATTGCATCTTATATAAGTGCTTAATATAAGGGTGACTTATTTATGAGAATCGTAAATAAATTACAATATATAATTAATAAAATTAATTTTTGAGAAAATCGATTTTTCTTCAAAGTAACATAACCGCTGTTTTTGAAATGTTTTCTAAATGTGATTCATTTAGTTATTTTGAATATTAAAGCAGAATTTTCATTAAAAAATCAATATGATATAGTTCACAAGATATTTTATACTCTATTTTAATATATTCTGACATGAAATATAAAATATCAGAAACTATTCATTTTTTATCGTACTTTAATATTTTATATATATATATATATATATAGAATAAAATTAAATTAATCAATTAATAAAAAAGAAACAATAGTAGCTTTTCAAAAAAATTTAATCAATAAAGTATCATATCTAAAAAAAACTGGAAGAATCCGCCGTAATTCAATGTGCGTAACTTAGAATTATATCGACTTTAATTAAAAATCAAAAAAACTTGTAAAAATCAAAATCGTTATTGAAGTTTAATCTTTTCGCAATAATTATCCGTATCATGTTTACAATTTATATTATAGATCGCCTGTAGAATTTTCAAAAATGTGGAATAAAGAAAATATGGAAATAACAAAACCTTCCATATCAACTTTCTCAATAGGAAAATCTGTTAGAAAGGAGATTATTCGTAGAGCTGATGGAACTATTGAGAAAAAGCATGTAATCAGAGATAGTGAAGGCAATGAGGAGACAATTATTTCAAAAGAAGCAGACAACAAAACATATGTTGTTACTATAAAAAAAGATAAAAATGGCATTGAAACAAGATCTGAGGATTTATTTAATATGGATGAAAGTATGTATGACAGATATATTAAATTTAATTAAAAAATAATTAAGAAATTATGAATGGAAACATGTATATAAGTTGTAGTTTCTAATATTATAGTTTACTCATTAAAAAATTATTTATACATTTATTTGAAAATTAATGTGACAAATAAGCAAATTAGCAAGTTTGATTGTGTAATTATAAAAACTACTTATAAAATGAAATTTCTATGTAAATTTCATTAATATTGTCTACTGAGCGATGAAAAGATTATCAGATTTTAAGTCGGTTAAAAAAAACTTTTACATTTTGAAACGATTTTTTTTTTCTCAAGAGGTTGTATATGTACATTTGAGATCTAATTTTTTGTATATATTCAAAAGTATGTAACATTGTAGTTATGTTCTAGTTGGGATGCTCACACGCATTCAAGCTTCATTCTTCCTTCTTTCCACATATAATGATCGATAAAAATAAAATGAAGCTTACAACGCGTGAACATCCAAATTGAAAGCAGTTTATATATTTTCATAACACTCAGGATATTCATAGTTGATTTTTATATTTAAGACTGTCTTAAGTATAGTCTTAAAATGTCATAAACCAATTTTAAGACGTTACTTAAAACAGTTTTAAAATAAGACTGAATATGAATACCGCCCTTAATAACCGTACTTATTTTCGCTATAATTTAAGTATTTAAATACGAAAATTTTAATTGCAGATGAATTGAAAGACTTTAATCAAAAGTGGGACTCTTCTGTAAAAGACAACATAAGTGGACACAACTCGACTTATCGTTTTCCATGGGAAAAGTTTTTCGGCCCCAATCCAAAATTATAGCAAGAAATAAAAAAATTATAGTCTTTGTTCCTAGTCTTTAATACATCTCCTGTATGTAATGTACGAATACTAATAAATTAAATGAAATAATAAATGAACTAATAAATTAATTGAATCAACAATAGAGATGCTTCTTTCATAATTTCTAATCACAAAGTTTTCTTTATTTGATAGAATATACTTTATACAATATTTATTATATACACAGATGTGTTTAATAAATTTATCATTTGACAAAAAATTTTTTTTAATTTATACAATATATACGAATCATTTCGCTTAGAAATATAATATTGTAAGAAAGAAATGATTTATTGTTAAGAATTTACCTGTTTTTGAATTACGTGAATCTTGAATGTTCTGATAATTGATTGTAATATCATATATCGCATTTACGTTCATTTTAAATTATATCGATTTTGACTCATACTAATGAATGTTTTTCAGATAATCTCTTCTGAAATACACGTAGAGTATAATATTAAATAATATAAAATAAAAATATATAAAAATATTGATGATATAATTCATTACAACAAATGTAATTACAAATCCGATCAAGAATGCTATGTAAACATAGTTAATATTTCCTCAAAATTTTAAATCCAGGGGACATTATATCTCTTTTTTAGATCACACTAAAACAATCAGAATATGAGAAAAATAATAAAAGATGTGTGCATACAATAAAGCGCTGAATCCAAATTACCTATAAATATATTTATATGAATTAATATTATACAAGAGAACTTAAAAAATAAACATGCTTTACAAATATTAATATATTGCTGTGATAGCAGTATATTCAACATTTTATAAGCAGGTATTTTTATTTTTTTATTACTTCGATACTTAAATAAATGTTTTACCCTGATTAATCTTAATAAATCCAAATATTTTGTAGATATTTAAATAATTCAATACGCATATATATGCATCTATTTATGCAGTAATACTCGTAAAAGATTGTGTTTATACTGCATAGATGTTATATACATAAAATATATATTACTTACAAACAAATACACAATTTTATAATTTCCAATATTACATTACTATAAATACAGCAAAAAATAATTATTAGGTAATTTCGTATATTTGTGAGACAATATGCAGGGTATCAATAAGTCTCTAAATAAATGACAATACAAATGTATGAGAAATATATCCGATAATAAAAATATCCAGAAATTCTTTCTACAATAAAATTGGCCGTTTATATATAGCAAATATTTATAATGTTATTTAGATAATGTATCTAAATTAATATAATTATTAATATTCGCTATTTCAGATATATATATAAAGAGATAATATAGTCACTTCTGTTCTAAACTCCTAAGATGGAACATAAAGTATTTTATTAGTCGCCTATGAAATATTATACAGAGTGTTCTGGTAAAGATGAGCATTATTTTACGAGACATACAAATTAGATAAAAATAATCCCGTAAGTTTTTATAAATTTTTTTCCTACTACACATTATTGAGACACACTTGTTTCTCAAATTAAGATTCGAAAAACATTTTTGTTAAATAATTTTTATACTACTTTTATACAACAAAATTTACGGAACAAAATTATATTTGCACACAATGCGATTAATCAATTGATGAATTAAACTCACGCGCTTTTCCCATTAAATAGAAAGAGGCAATAAGTACGTTGCATCTTCTAAAATGACAATATTCCTTTCATTCGCCTAAAAATATTTAATGAATTATGAATTAAAATGTAATAAAACATAATTGAAATTTATACATATTTGTGTGGTTCGAGCAGTAGTATCATTCTCATAAAAAGATAGAAGATATACGCTCTCATTTTATCAACTTAATCCCCTGTGTGATTATAGTCATAAGGCATATCCACAATATATCTAATAATTATAAAATTATGAACAGGGAGAATTCAAGTTATTCAAGAAAAATACTTTTCAAATCTTTGAAGACGAATATCTTGACAACGGTCATAGAATAAAAATTTATATAGAAATTTATGGGGTTATTTTCACTTATATTCTTGAAATGAGAATTACAGAAATGAGCAAATTTACTAGATGTTGACCAATGAAATGTATAAATATTCCAGTTTGCTCACTTTTTTAATTTTCATCTCATTTCAAGATACACGATCAACCCTTATCTGATTAACTATCATTCTTGTGACTTTAAAACGAGAATTTGTGACCCAGTATATTATTTTTTTCGGGACACTCTATAAATACAAAGTGTCCCATTTTAATTGCCCCAGGCAAATATTTCGAAAACTCATTTGGCGCGCAGATTAAAGGACTACATACGTTTAAATTCATATAGAATTATTAGACCATTAAAATGCATTTATTTCCTGTATTGATTGAAATTATAAATTTTTTTTTACATAAAATGATTCCTCTAACTATTCTGCACATAAAAGAAAAGTTACCAAAACATTAATAAAATACATATTCTTTTATATTAAAGTGTGCCAGAATAAAGTATAAAATATCTCGTGAACTTCATTTTTTTTTATAACTGCCTTAATATTTTTAACATAGAGTTTTAAAACATTACATTACTTTGAAAAATTCTTAAATGTTTCTGTATGTTTTTGTCTTCCATACTTTTTCGGGATATTACCTAGGGCAATTAAAATATTGTGTACAAGTTGTTTCAAAATCCTTGAATGAAAATAGTACAAGAAAGTTTTTTAAAAATTAATAAAAGTATACGTCATTATTTTTTATTTTTGAGCAGTTTTCGTGGCTTAATAAAAAAATTAATAAACGAAAAAAAATAAATGAATAAATTAGAAAAGATTAGAAGTCATAAATCACGGCACATATGCAACTAGATTGCAATTAACTATTCGATTTCTACTATATTCTGTAGATTATCGTATTGGTATAAATTGTAATTAGAATAATTTTCTATAGAATCAGGTATTATTGGCAATATGACGCTAATGATCTAAAAATTTGCATTTGTTGTATTTATTTTTTGAACATTAAATTAGGATTATATATAATAATATTACACGTAATATTGCACAGACATATGTACAAGATGTTTTGTTTAGATGTAAATGGGTCGAATATCTCGGAAAATATGAAAGGTACGAAAAAATATTTCAGATGAAAGTTGTACAGGATGCAAATATTGATAAAAGTAATTTTTGAAAAATATCAGTCTTTTAAGATCATATGGAGGTTACCGCTAATATTTTAAATGGAATTGTATGATTTTTTCTATATAATATGATATTCCTTTTTTTTCCGCATATAAAAGTTTTAAGGTAAAACTATCGAAAAATTAATAATTTACGAGATATTTCATGTTAATATGTGCCAAAATAAAATTTGAAGTGGATTGTAAGATTCACGAAACGTTGGCATTCCAAGAATGGATCTGGACACGGAGGAAATCCGCGAAACGCATAATCTTTATATAGAAAGCACCTGTGGAAGTCTCAAGAATATTATCGTAAATTATCTTTTATAGCTTTCAATTCTATTAAAAAAATGGCCGTACATATGATCTTGAAAAACTGATTTCTTTTTAAATAATTTTATTAATTTTTGTCGTTTCTTCAGACCGTACAATTTTAATTTGAAACATTATGTATCTTTCATATTTTCCGAAATATACAACACATTACGTTT